AGCCTATATTGTAGATTTTGTAATTGCCTAGTAACTACAATCCGCGTGTACTGAAACCGGACCACCCGAAAGAAACCTGAGTCGCTTGTAATCTACATTTATTATCCACGTTAGCAGAATCATGTCAGACATATCTGCACATTGAGAGCTGTTATGAAACAGTCTAGCCACCTTCACAAGCAGCCTTCACCTTCGATTAACACTGGAAAGCCTCAGTCTATCATTTTGACACCTGTATCACGAGCACTTATACCAGTCTTACCTGCATTGGTGCAACAGTAATGAAACGATTGCTCCTATAAATCAATCTGATCTTCAATGTAATTGAAATTTTTCAAGTTTGTGACTGCTAAAGACAGCTTATATCCTGAAGGCGGTGTTGCTGTTTGTTTCCTTTACATCAGTGAAAAGACTAGATAATGAATCAGTTTCCTGAACTGGTTTTTGAATCCAGGTGAAAATTTGTCGTGGAAATTCGAACACACAAAGATGAAGGCCAATTTTGGTACCACGGTGGATTTGTGTCGGTAACCAGTTCACTCACAGAAAAAGTTCAGAAACTCGATATTATACATCTTAGTATATCGACTAATCGATCAAAGTATTCGTGCAACATATGGTTACCAGATACCTGCATGAAGGAACGCTCTTTGAAAGCATCACCAGCCAGTATCCCGTCATCCACCAATACTTCCATACCTCAGACCCATCGCTTCGCACAACTACCGTAGGCGTTTCGCTACTTCAGTGGCCGCCTCAACCAATTGCTACGTGTAGAAACTTCAATACGATCTTGCAGCATCACCCTCTGGGTGGAAGGGAGTAAATCAACGGTGTATCAGACAGCTGAGCACCGCTGCATCACCTGGGGCACTAATACGCATTGAAGATACCGACAATTCTCCGGTAAGAACATCGGTCTCTAGAAGACCTCGTACCTATTCTCCTCTAAATCATATCTCAGACCCGGAATTCTTTACACAGATGTGTCTGTTTGCATGACCAGTCAATGACACTCATGCTTTAGCACGTATATGCAAACTGCACATCTGCTGTGATTGATATGCAACACTCATGTCCGCGCTAAGCTATGACCTGTGAGTGTTGCATTTGAATCAAAGCAGACATCATTGCAGCTTATTATCACGAGAAGAGAGAACTTGTCGTCATTGACACCGTGGAACCAGTGATATATTCTAATTCAGCTATGCGCACAAATACAAGCCAATAACCGGGAGTTCCTACAATTCCAAGTATAAACAACGCAGACAGGTTATAACATTTTTTTTTTTTTTTTTTTAACTGTCGCAAAACATCATCCAATGCTTCTATTGCCTGGTAAACAGCCTCATTATGCATCACACGGGCACACGTTTCACGTGAGCCCGACTCTTAGGCGTGCTAACTACAACATTACTCAATTGACAGTACGTAACAAGTACAGAGGACCATGAAAGTTTCTTGGAACTGACGCAGCGGCAAGCGCAACAACACGCATCAACGCCTACTTCGCATGGTCCTTACTCTCATCAATTTTGCCACGTCCTTCCTGAGGCTTCAGCGATCAATTGTGCAAGAAGGAGCGATAGGCTGGCAAAAGCAACAAACATCGTTGGTTTAATCCGCTCCTCATAGCAAGAAGAGGGAAAAAGAAATATCAAATATAAAGCATTAAAACTATACCGGAGAGTGAGAAGCGAATGTGGGCCGAATGGACGGAATGACGTCGAATGAGGGAGTAATGGAAGGCTACAGTACTCCCAAACCGATACTTCATGGCTGCGAAGAAGAAGCAGAAGAGCAGCAGAACGTTCAACAATGAGAATGCTTCAATTGAGCTATTCCTACAGTGTTAGGAGAGAACGGGGAGAGAGATGGAGACAGAGAGACACTGGAAATAAATGACGTCAGTTCAACTCTAAGCCCATTCATCCAAAACTCTATTCATCCATCCGTCTCCCCCCTTCTCCCCCCCCCCCCCCCACAGTGGCTTGGCCGCTAGTGTTGATATTGAATTCAATTATTGATTTCCATCACATTATACTTCTGAAAGTAAAATTAACCTAATTTATAATAACTATAATTTTTATGAGATTCCAATATGATGTTTAATTATTGTATTTTTATATCAACATATCATTACTAAGAAATGTAAACATTTTGATTAACCAAGTCTTCAGATTCATTTAATGTTAAACAGAATCTTATGGTTAAGGTATTAAAAAAAAGTATATGGACCATGTCGACATCTAAGTATGTTGAATAATAATGTGTCATTAAAGTAAATTTATCTTGATTTAAAGATCAGATCAATGACTTAACAAACACAATGAATAAGCAAAAAACTAGAAACATTAAAAAACAGTAAAATTAAAATTAAAATTAAAATTAAAAGCCATTAAAATTCAAGTGTATATATAATTTCTTGGCTAATTTGAGGTTCTTACAAAAAAAAAAACATAGATGTAGGTTAGTTTCTAAAAATTAATAATTTCTACCTTTACTAATATAATAAAATCTATACAATTTCATTCTTTTAATTATAAGAACCATTTTTTCTTATGATTCATATTCTTTATTAACAATTTTTATTCTAATTTATCCAATTTCAAAATTTGTATCTCAAAAATAGTGCCAACATGAATGTTCTTGAATAAAATTTTGAACAAATGAAATATTTTAGGGAACCTTGTATCCTGTTATATTTTTTTTTTATATTGTTTTATCATTCATATAGTAGAAATTTCAAGTTACGATTAGAGATGTATTATAGTTTTTATTTTTTTCTATTGCAAATTTTATTCGAATTGTATATAATGTCTTCAAACTGGACTCTATTTTTGGTTTGAAGTCGTGAAAACGTTTTGAGAACTATGCAATATGAAAAAAAAAATTGATGATGGTTTTATAACATAGCCTGTATAATTTATGAGAAATTTTGAAATTAAATTCCAAATAGAAGGAAGATAAAATTTGAAATTAAGTCTGATATTTCGTAAACATATGAAATGTTTATATGAAAGAGGTTTAAATTAAAATGGTTTTAATTTTGATTGGTTATTTTGGTCATTTCAAAAAACTATATGTAAATATAATTTTTTATCAATATAATTTGTAGAAACATGTATTCTAACAGCATACTTTTTTTAAATTATATTTTTAAAACATTTTCTTACTAATTAAGATGCTATAATTTTATGTATTAAGGACCTACGAAATAGAACACTAATATTGTAATTATTCCAAATATACTAAAGCTACTTTTTCTACAAAATTTAGCTAGTTTTATTCTTATTACTTTTAAGTTGATTTTTAATTTTTTATCTTTAATTTGGATTATTTGATAACACTAAAAAAATTAAAATTACATATAATTAACAAAACGTAATATTAAAAAAAAAACGAAATCATCTTCTGGATTTATAACAAGATACATAAAGTTTTATTCTTTCAACTATAAAACCCAAAAAGTCAATGTCTAATAGATTTCATTATTCTTTAGAAAACACTTTATTATTTATAACATAATTTTAATTTTTTAATTTTATAAACTAATTTACAAACAATCATTATATTTTAAAAGCTTATTCAATAAAGTTTTTTTTTTTATTGTCTTCATTGAACAACCTTACAACATGTTTGATTTATTTTTGAATTGTATAAAAAAAAAAATCGCTCATTATTTTTAAAATTTAATTTAATTTAATGTAAAAAAATAAAAAAATAAAAAAAAAGTTAACTCTATTAAACAAGTTACAATATTCAAGCCATAGATTCATTACAAAAAATAAAATACTAAAAATTGAAACTTTCACAAAAAATCTGTCCAAAAAAGATATAATATCTTATGTTATATAAATATATCAATTGGTATTTTTTTCCCGAAATACTAATTTCAAAATTTTAATATGATTCACATCATTTTATTCAAAAACATTTAGAATCTCTTGTAATGTTTTACACAAAGAATTTTAAACTATTTATCAATTTACGAATTTAAACACATAAATAATTTTGAAATGGAAAAAAATAGTGTCAACAATTTAGGAGAATAATACTCTAGTTGCCAAAGATTTAAATGTATATATATATATATATATATATATATATTAGATTTTTATTTAAATAAATTTTCATATTTAAATTTAATGGTTAAGTTATTTATTTTTGTTTATTTATAAATAAACCTTGAATTTTGAAGTTTGAAATGCTTAATTAAGAGTATTTGAATTTTATAATTTGACTATGATTTTAAAGTTATGATTAAGTGTTTTTTAATACTTTATTTTTTAAATTTCTGTATAAGAACTATGTTTTTTAATTTTTTTTAATGTTGTAGCACAGATTTATACCTATTTCTCAAAATCTCACTTCTTTGTTTCATGGTTTCTACTCTCTATGGATATATATATATATATATAGATATATCTATTTTTATCAGATTCCAATTTTTTTTTTTTTTTTAACATGTCATATCTCTTAGATATCATTTTAGTATTTTTTTTGCACAAATAACAATCACAAATATTTTAAAATTTTAATACACAATAAAAATTTACCACATAAAATTAAGCAAAAACAACCCAATTCTCGTAAATACTTGCAAGGCAATACAAATTTATTTATTGCCCTAAAAAAACAGACACCATCACTTTAAAAATTTAAAAATCATCATCTCTTCTGTATTTTGAAACCACTACTTTGTGTAATCTATCAACGTTATGATAAAATCGAGATAACCAAGTTAAGATCCAAAAAAATAACAAGCTTTAAAAAAATTATTAATAAAGCAGAGTACTAATCTATCAATTACTTCACAGACACGCGAAAAAATTACATCCACAACAAGAAACCCAAGAAAGGTGAGAGCCTATGCGAAAAAGCAAAAGGTGCGGATTCGTTTCTTTTACTTTGTGTGCACGGTGACGTGGCGACCTTAAAGGGATTAATTATGCACGTGCTTTTATGGTGCGGCATCAGGGGTAGTCGCGCGTGTGCCCTGGAGGTGTCTGTAAGGGAGCGATCGCAGCTCTTGGTCTGGATTCAAAGATCTATTATGTCCTTCACCGCCATTGTTTCCATCGCGCTTTTACTTGTGGATCGAAAAGCTACAGCTTCACATTCAAATCCCATTCCGCTTGCTGGGGTAGTTGCCTAAGAATGAGCTCTCACTGCCAAGTGGAGATGGAGTTTGCTTCGAAAGGACCACATTTAGTGCCCTGATTTCGAGCCACGGCGTGGTTGAGTTGAGTTTAGTTGAATTGCAGGGCGCGGAGATCATGACGCTTTTTCTCATGGTGGTCGCCGCGACACCACATTGTTGTTGCGAAGTCCTGGTGCACAGGGCGCTTTCGACCTGATGGGGGAGGGGGTGTGTGGTTGGGCGTTGTTTATCCATTGAGGTCATTTCTGCGAATGGAAAGCGTGATGGTTTCTGTGCGTCGATCTCAACAGTGTTTGTTGGTTTCAATCCCTCGGGTGGAGATTGTGGATTTTGGGTTCTACGCAATTAGTCCGGGATTCTGGTAGCTGTGAGTGTTGTTGCAGCGCATGGATGTGTAACCCCTGTTGGGATTGCCGTCCATCGATGCCTGAATTCGATTTTGTCGGGAGTCGTGTTAGCTGCTGCTGATCAACTGTAGGTGGTGGGTATATATCTGGTCTTTTGAATACCTGCAGTATTATTCGGAGCTCGAGGGTTGCGGGGTTCGAATTTATGAAGAATCAGCTTAATTAACGGGTAGCTTTCTGTTCTATCTCGTTTATTGCTTCAGATACTTAGGGGAAAGTATTTTATTGATATCCATATTAGTTAATGATTATCAAATTTGTGTTTCTGGGTTTCTCTGATTGATCTGTTAGAATAAAAATTGGTTGTTTCCCACACGTTGATGGGGCCAGGAGTGCGGGTAAAATGTTTCCCAGCCTGAAACAGCTTGCAACAGTGGAGTGGAGCTGGAAGTGGTGCTGTGCTCGGAAGCTTCTCACATAGAATGTCGAGTGAAACAGACAACGGAGTTTCATGAACGAAGGCTGAATTTCGTTGTGAATACAAGGATTGAGTCTTATTCAGTGATAGTAACCGCCCGTGACTAGATCTCCATGTCAGGATTTGGAAGGAACTGAGCGGTACAAATGGAATTGTCCTCGGACTCTGGATCCGGGCATTTTGATACTGAACTGATCAAAGTTTTGAGAGACAAGAAGTAGAAGTGCAAAGAGGACAAACATATTCGATGTGTCGATTTAGCAAATGAGAAGCATGATTTTCAGTATTGAGAAATTTATTCTCACAATAGTAGGCATCAGATCATAGGGGTAGAGCATCCAATATCTTTTGAAGTGTCTGGCACCAAAACCGGAAACAGAATCAAAGCCATGTTTTCTGAAATGACACAAACGACGTTTACCTAATAAACAGTGTTCAAGCAAGGAAGCTTATTAAAAAGAATGCATATGTACAAGATCTGATGCAGGAACTTAATTGGCTGATATGGCCTCTACATACATCTCTGATACCATCTCCAGGAGCTCAACGATCACAGTATTGACTTCAGCGATTTCGCTTTCACGAACTTTCGACGCTTACTATCCAGCAGCTCGTCGTCGGAATCGATCGAATTTACGTCGACTGATGTATCCACCTCTGAGACGGGAGATGGCTTCACAACATTTTTGAGTGTAAGTTTCGAAGTCTTCACAGGACTCTGAACAAGACTCTGTTCCTTTGACTTGTTCCTCGATTTCCTTCGACGGATATCTGCCCTGCGGATCTGGTCTCGGTGGTACTTGCATAAAGAGAACCCCACTTCTGCAGGTCGAAAACATCTCCAACCCTTCCCATCATCCCGATTGCATCGAGGTCCGGACTGGTCCCCCGACAGACTCGTTTTCTGTGAGCTTGACGATCTCGTGCTGCTTTTGCTTCTCAATGTCACCCCTCTACGATCTGCTCCAGTTTTCACCTCGCCACCTGATTTTTCACTGTGACTCGTAACCCCTTCCCGATTACCGCCATCCTCCTGAATCCTCTGCAAATTTTGTAACTGTCTCGCAGCTTCTATGGTCTTTTCCACTTCTGTTACCTCCGTTGAGACTGCTTTCTCACGGCTAACAATTGCTTCGTCCGCATCGGAATCACCCCATTCTTTCGGGCTCGCAGAGTCTTGTATGAAGTATCTTCCGCGCTCCTCGCGCTCGACGAACAAGGAAGAACTACGAAATGTTTTAGCTACCTGAACGATCAATCTCTCACCTCCTTCATTTAAACCTGGCAGACCAAGCTCCCGGACTTTCGTAACTGCTTCTTTCGCTGTTAGACCGGTGTTCGCAGCAGTTAAGCAGATGAGTTTCAAAGACTGCAACAAAAGATTCGACTGATCTGCGACTTTCATGGCCATAGGTGGGCTGCAATCAATTGCGTCTTTCAGGTCTTTGACAAGTGATGTATCCGACGTGGAGATTGAATGGGCACATGCGAGAGCCGATGGCGAATTGGTTTTCCCCGGCGCCACACCTGGGGTACACAAATTACATTTCACTCGCAAGTTCGACGGAGGATCATGAGTTCCTCGCAACGTTAATATGCTTCGATGCACAATGTAGCGCACTTAGCAAAAATCCTCGACTGAACACATGCACCAGTTCGAATTCCTAGGAGATCCTAGATCAAAGAAGTGCTAAGTTCAAAACCTAGGGTATGACTCACTCTACCCTAGAAATTGTGACTGCAACGATCTGCAATCATGCTGTAACAATCAGGTCGTAAGCAAACATCAACATAGCCATGACGATTTATCGCGATGACCGGGACCCTGAAACTGAACCATCCTCTTCAAGTGCGCGTCACGTAAGAAGATGCGCTCGAAACAACTCAAGTATCTTACCTGCTCTTATGATAGAGCTGATAGAGAGCTTCCCGTCCACGGCAATCGGCGGCAGACCCTCGTTTGAATGTCCATCATCTGGCGATCCAGCATCAACTGAGACAACACGTGACCAATCTGTATGAGATTACTTGTACTGGAGAGTCGAACTCATAAAGGTATGAGATGGAGACCCCTTCTATTAAAGTTGAATCCTAGGGTACAGTTGTACCACAAAGATCTGAACACACGAAGATTAAGGGCATTGCCGGAGTTAGTCCCAGACTGATTCTGAACCCTCTGAATCCTGGCCTTAATCAATGTATTTGTGCAAAAGGTGGTTACCTGTGTTCTGAACCGAGGACCGTTCGTCGAACGTATCATTAACTGAAACCCTGCAATCCATCAATACTTCCACGCGTTAGAGCTCGCGTCCGACGCACTGCTTCGAGCAAGAGGACTATACATTTGTTGCAGTTGACGCGCTACCTGTCCACTGCTTAACGCACACACAAAGCTTTCCATCTTGCAGCACTACCCTCCCAGAGGAAAGCGACGATGAACGACATACCACCTGGTTGCAATTGTCAGGAACAGGTGCTAACCACAGCCATGGCATCTAGGGCACTGAACACCAGTATAGATAGCAACTATGCGACAATCGAGAAACACAGAAAGATGGCCTTTGGAAGAGGATGTACCTGTTCGCCTCTAGATTACACTCTAGGCCCGTTTCTCTTTTCGCAGATGTACCGTTTGCATGTTCCTGCTTCAACATGAAACAGGTCAGGTCTGTCAGTGTTACATGTCGACCATGGACCACTGCAGACATTATGATAATGGATTCTCCCTACACGTCTGAAAAGGGTGCAATTGACGCACTTGGACCAGTAATATAATCTAACTCATCCCTCGATTAATTTCTAATCTCAGGTCTCAACTTAATTCTCAATGCCAGCCGAGAGTTCGGGAGCTACAACTGCTACGAGAAGAAACCGCGAGTCCCCAGATTGGCCTTTTCTTCCAACTCTCGACATGAGTGAACCAAGGGCGCACCATAATTCAATGCTTCTAATGTCTGCAAAGTCTCATAAAAACATGACACAGCGACACGCATCCCGCGAGCGCGACACTCACGACGCGCCAACCACAACCCGGCGTCTACAATTCCCACACCAGCTGTACCAGCTCCTGGAAGCCACTGGTGGCTGCAACGTCCGCAGGTGCAGCAGCAGCAGCAGCACTCTTGACGAGTCGCCGCGAGTGGGCCTCAACTTTGATGGCGTCTATCCCGTGAGCATTCTGATCCCTCTGACCCAAATCCTCCTGCAAGCAAGTTTGATCCGCCGGTGCCAGCTGCAAGCTCCGGTGACCCTTCCGGATCCTCATTGCGGAAAGAAAGCAGACAGTCACCGCAACTAAGAAACCGAAATTAAAATTCGGTTTTGAAAAATAGACAAAAAAGAAAAGAAATAATATAGAAACGGAGGAACTAAAACAGCACAAGCCTCACGCGGCGTCAAGCGCAGCGCCACGGCGAGCACAGCCAGCGCCGAGGAAGCGAAGCGCGGGACATGAGAGGTTCACGATTTCACTGGTGGTGGCTACGCTATGGTCGCGATGGGGACGAGTAGCAGCATCAAAAAGCACCCTCAACAACGCTAGAGCGCGGGGATGGACTGCGGGTACAACCATAGAGAGCGAGGCAGGAGGGGCCGGCCATAGACAGCGTGGCGTTGGGAATGAGGACACGGGTGGCTTTCATTCACCTGCTTTCATCCCCGCGCATTTCATCTGCTCCTCCCCAGTTTCTCATTCATCCCCCTCTCCCCCCCCCCCCGCAAGCACCAAACGCGCAGCTCTCGGCCCCGCGCCACGCCAGCGTTCAATGTATCATATACTCTATTTGTATTTCTATATGTATCTAAATACGTATCGTATTCGACGTATCCTATGTTCGATGTGCAGTATAACTTAACTAAAGACGGTGACAAATAAAAACTGTCTAATTATTTCTGTTTCGAACTCATGTGTTCGTAACATATTTGAGAGCGTGGTGTATTGGATTTTATCTCTAATGCATTATTTTGACACAAAATTTTCTACTTTCATATATTTGTAAGTGTATTTAATAACTTGTTTGTGTATATTCAAAGATTTTATTTACTTTTAGAATAGGATGTATAACTGAAAAAATTGAACACATGTAATAAAAAAATCTAATGTCTAAAAATAGACATACTACACAATCATTACATCAACCTGTTCTTCTTATTATTTTTATTCATACTTGCACCTTTAGGAGGTTGTACTTTGAAAATAAAAAATAAAAATTCTTAGAATGGTTTAATAAATTTCCTTATTTATGTCTTATTATAATTATTTTATAGATTGGTTTCAAATTTATTGATTCTTAGCTTTCTAGAATTTCTTTGAAGATTGAAATTCAATTTAAAAATATATTTATGTGTATGTATTTTTAATTTTTAATTTTTTTTTAAAACAAAAAAATTCTTTACCAAAGAATTGTGACTTTTATTAAATCTTGATTATTAGAAAACTTAGTTGAAGTCAACTAATTGAGATGTAAGAAAAAAACTTATTTGTAAAGAATTATTTGTAAGTTTTTAAGCTTTTAGAACTATTGTTTGACTGTTTTGAAAAGTCTAATAATATAAGTAGTAAAAGATGCTTGATTTTAAGGCTTTGAGGAAATTAGGTCTAAATTTGTCACAAAAAAGATGCTATTGCAACATAGGAGGCAAGCTCTCTATAAAAGAAAAAAAAACTTACTGGTTATTCAAAGAATTATAACATTACTAAAAAAAACTTGTTTGTTGAGGTAAATTGACAAATATACATGGAAATATTACTTCTCAATTAAAAAATAAAAAAATAAAAAATAAAAATTTAATTATAAGAAATAAAGTTCCACAAAATTAAATGATTCAATATATATATATATATATATATATATATACATTCATAAAATTTATCACATAAAAGCATTGAGAATTTTAATTTTAAATAAACTAAAAATTTTATTTTAAAAAATGAAAAAAAATTTATTTGCGATTAATGTATTATAAATTAACTTTAAAATGTCAAAGACTATATGAAAGATAAAAATGACTAAATAGTTGTTAAATAATTTGTCAAAGAGATAGCAATTTTAAAAAATAAAATAAAAAATTAATTAAAATATTAGAAAAAAAACTATTTATTTCAAATAAAATTAAAAAATAATTAATATTAAATTATATTCATAATGATATATATATATATATATATATATATATATATATATATATATATATAAAGAAATAGTTTTTGTAATTGAAATACACTATTAATTAATTATAAAAAGAGAAGGTTCAAATTTTTGCCTTTATCAAAATTAATGCCTTTTAAAAAAATTGAATTGATATATATATATATATATATATATATATTCATTTTAAATTCAACTATATATATATATATATATGATTTGTCAAGTGGAATTTTGATTTATTTTGAGTTGATAAATTTGTCTTGCTAAATTTTTTAAATTACAAAGCCATAAAGATAACAGTATTTTTGGCTATAAATTTTTATAAATTAAATTTAAGTTTATACTTATATTTTTCAAATCTTAATAAATATTAATTTCAATTAGAATTAGAAGTATATATAAATTCCAACACTATATTTGAATGAGTGATTTTTCTTAATCTTATAGTTTCATATCTTTAAAATCAAAAATATTATTTATTTATGATTTACATCAATAATTTTAAGTAATTTTAAATTACTTAAAAATTATATAATTTCTTGATTATTTGTTTATATTCTACTTGTATTTAGAGTTAAATATTTGTTGTTGTAGTTATGAATCTTTTTTTTAAAAGTTTATTTTATATGTATTGCCAACTTTCAAACTCTATTATAAAAACAGTAATTAAAATTTAAAGGCTATTAAAATAAATTCAACAACTTAATAAAGTAAATTATATATATATATATATATATATATATATGATTTAACATGACTAAAAATTACATATTTTTAATAAAATAAATTAAAGAATACATCTTAAATAAATTTTGTATTTTTTATAGCCACTCAATATTATTAATAATATAAATATAAATTTTTAATAATCAAAAATATTTTTTTTGAAACATCCAATTTATTTTTTATGAATTAAGTATTAATTTATTATTTAATATATATATATATATATATATATATATATATATATATATATTTTAATTTTTATTATGATACCTATACATAGGTTAGTTTTTATAAAAAATCTTAATATAGATTTATATATATATATATATATATATATATATATATATATATATATATAAGAAAATATTAGATTGATCCTACATGTAATTATTTCAACCCTCTTTTATCAAATAGAATAGAAACTATATTATTATTTAACGATGGCAGTATAAATGCAAATATTAAATTAAAATTAGATTGGTAAGATACAACATGTTACAATATATACTATTGCATTTGCAATTAGATTAATCATGGTAAATATAACTATATAAATATAATTCATCCATAGAAACATTATTAGTAAAAACAATTAAATTTGTCAATCACAATAAATAATAAAAATTACTTTATAACATTCAAATTGACTAATTTATTCCCATTCAAAATTTATAATATTGTCTATGACATTCATCCACTTTAAAAATCTTACTTTTGTAACTTTATATTATGCTATCTTTTAGCTAAAAAAGAATGCTGTGAGCATCTTAAAATTCTCTCATTTCAAAATAGAAAATGCCTTGGATATAGATATTTTACTAGAAGAATCATTTATTATGTACAAAGAAATAAAGAGATGCTTAGATCGGTTTAAGTAAGCTTAAGATTGTGTAATTTGTTGGCATTGCTCTAAGAAGGGCCTCTTTGTCTTTAAGTGCTATAGATATTGCACTTACAATTAGTCTAAAGTACATTTTTGTCAACATAGTTGAACCATGTAGTTGATAAGGCATCTATTTAGATTATATGCTTGTTGTTTGTATATTAAAAAATATTAATATCTATCACTTTGAAATGAAAGTCACAACCATAGTTTATAAGCATTACTAACAAAACATTTATTTATTTATTTTTTTTGTCTCCAATCTACATAAAAAGCTCTAATAACTTACATGCTTGTTATAGGAGTAGTTCCAAGGAAAAAGTTACATTCCTTATCAATGATTCTCTGCAAATCTGGTAGTTGTATATACTATTTATAATAAACACCAGCTTCTTAATATGGCTCATCTTTAAGGTTCTTTGGCTATTCACATTTTGATGGAATATCTTTACGACACTTCATATCATTATGCCTATAAATAAAATGAGACAAACAACATTAATAGTCTTTTTTTTTGGTCAAATTAAATATATATAGTTTGTAAAAAGATATCCATACAATATAGTTATGGATTACATACACTAAAAAAACAAGTTTAAGATGCCCATACTATATGAAGATGTCACAAGTTTCAACATATCTTTTACAATCAGGGTTGCATTTTTTCAAGAAGAAATACAACCATATTTGTATTGGATTTTAATATAACTTAAGCTATTGTATAGAATATTATGGCTTATGAATATTAGTATTGACATGGACTTGATACTTATAAATGCCATCAAAGATATTTTTCCCACATTTAAGGTCCTTCTTTGTGTTTTGTATATTTAAAAAAATATTTTGGCTAATTGCAAGAAATTCTTTTTATTCATAGAAGAAGATGGTTGATCATCTTTTTTGCAAAATGGATGATAATTCTTTTGGAAGAGATTTTTGAAAAATAATAGATGAATGTCTATGCCATTTATGTTTTTGCTTCTTCAAAAGAAATTATTGCATATGTTTAAAAAACATGGATTTTTCACAAAAAATAATTTATCGAATACTAAACAAATGATACTTTCTATTTTAGGTACATTATCACATTACATGCAAAAGGATAATATTAAGTCTTAAAGTCATATATCAAGATTTCTAAAAAAGATCTTTATAGTATATATATATTTTTTTGTTTTCTTTTTTAAAAAATTAAATCAAAGCAATCAAGGCTCAAAAAAGCTCTAAATGATTGTGTATATGCAACTATCGTAACAGTAATTTTTTGAAGAGTGTTGTTATGAAGATGAAAATATATGTACTCAATCTTGTGGTTAGACATAACACTTTTGGACAATAATAGTACTACATATTCAAGTACATTTATAATCACACTTAACCTTCTTTATCAAGAAATAATTAATATGATATTACATCATGAAGAAATATCACTTCATGGTTGATGATTCCCATATCCAATATGACTTGGTCAACTTATTAATTTTGATGGATCAATCTATTATGAAGAAAACTACTACCATTGTCAAATTAATTATTATCTTTGTAATAGTTGGTTGGAGGGATGAACTCATTGCAATCTACTAATATTTGATGCTATAAAAAAACTCTTGAAATTGGCAACAATGACTAAAGGTTAGAAAAAATCTTTAGCAAGTCTTCCAAAAAGTCATTTGCATGATTCAAAAAACATGATAAACACAAATTCTACATAGCAAATTTCATCAAAATTTGAATATGTCAAAGGTACAAGTATCAGTATGTTTCAATGCAAAAATTCCAAAGATATTGGTC